GTGTAGAATGCATTTTGGCTGGGCTGAAGCATAAAACGTTCCCGTCCGTCGTAGTCAGTGCGGCATCAGCCAACGGCAGAGAGGCGATGGTGCGGGGTAGCAGAGGAGAGAGAAAGAAGGCAGCTGCCCAACCAAACCACAACAGCCGGCGCCGTATTATTGAGCTCCCAATACGTCGCGCGGCCATTTTTGATTGAGCCCCCTTTCGCCTCCCCTTCCCCTCTTTCCCCCTTTTTAAACAGAACTAATTTCTGCTGCATCTTTGTTGGCTCTTTCTCTTCCTTTTTCCCTTCAATTTTGCAAACGATAAAATTTTTCTTTCTCCCGTCTTTTCTTTTTGGGAAAGGGATCGGGAAATCAGCACTTAATACACCGGCAGTAGACTGTCTTCTGGTAAGAACATCAGAAGTCAAGATGTTTTGGCGTACCAAGGGATTTTATTCTTCAGTCCTTCTGCGTTCGGGTAAACATCTTCTTATCACTTTGTCTGTTTAATTTTAAAATTTTAATTAAATAGTCTATCTTTATTTATTTGATGCTCCACTTGGCTTTTAAAAACTTAGCACAGTTCCCATCAAATTACAGTTTATTAGTTCATGGTTTCTTGTCAAATCTAACTTCTTAACGGAGGAAATCCTGTCGGCCCACCGAGATGCCAATCTTTGTTGCTTATTCCAGCTGCTATTTCGTTGTTCATCTTTCTAGTACAGGTCGATAATTTCACCGGCTGATATCTGTAGGACCAGGAAAAATTAAAGTCATCACGGTCAACAGATTAGGACGAACTTAGCACGTCAGATGAACGCTAGCTGTACAGTTATTGCCGTTCACGTTGCTCGGGATAGTTCTCAGTAGGACAAGTCGTTTCCAACGAAAAGAGCAGCACCCAACATCAGAACCAGCAGCGACAAACCGCCTGGCACCAGCAACTGCAACATCACTACCGACAACGCCGGAACAGAATGTCGACTTCGCCAGTATTGCCACTGTCGTCGTCAGCAACAATAGCACAGCGACAGCTAGACAAAAACCCTAATTATTCTTTTTCAGCATAGCAGAGAAACGGGTGTCTTAGCAGCCACCGTTTCTTTTGGCTGCCTTTTTCCCTCTCTTTGTTAAAGCTAAAAAAACATCTGTTGCCCAAGGCGCTTTTCTGCTTTGAGCGTTCTCACTCATAACAGCTCCTCAGTTCATTGTTCCTCTTCAATCACTGGGCACTCCCATCCCTTACCGCCTTAATGCTGGCGCTGCTGCTGGTGGTTAGCCCGTGGCTAACTGGAAAGCCCTGTAGAGCAAAAGAGTGCTGGGAAGGGCAACGAGGAATGTGAGTGTCCAAGGATGCGTTGTGCCCTCTACTCCACAATTTATGTGGGATTCTCTTTTTTTTTCCTGCTGTTCCTGCTGCTGCTG